GGCGGGGACATGGCCGGGACACGGGGGGACACGGCGGGTACGTGGGGGACATGGCAGGGACGTGGCGGGTCCTTGCCGGACTGTCCGAGCCGCGCGGCCGTGACCGCCCGTGTGGCCGCAGCTGCGCCGTGCGCCTGTGGGACTCGGAGGAGCCGGTGCCGCGCGCGGAGCTGCTGGCGGCCGTGGCCGGCAAGCAGGGCCTGCTCTGCCTGCTCTCGGACCGCGTGGACAGGGAGCTCCTGGAGGCGGCAGGTGCGTGTGGCAGCGCGGGCACGGGCCGTCCCCAGCGCGGGGAGCGTCCTTGGAGTGGCCAAGCCCCTGGGAGATGGTTGGAGCCGGCAGCGGTGCTGTGGGTTCCCAGCCCTGCACGGGGATAAGCAGGCGGCCAGCTGCTCGCGCTGCACTGCGATGGACGAAGCGCAGCCACCTGCTCAAAACAAACACGCAAAAAACATCTTTCAGCAGCAGCTGTTGCGGGGAACCCCAAACGACCCGCGTTTGAGCAGCGGAGCGGCCTCTGCAGAGGACTTGTACCCGCTGTCTCAGCTGGTGGTTGCCCCTTGTCTTTGAGACGTTGCCTCCAACCATTATCTTTGTGAGCCCTCTTGTCTTGGTGTTTTGCAGGGCCCAGCCTGAAAGTCATCAGCACCATGTCTGTGGGGTTTGACCACCTTGACTTGCATGAAATCAAAAAGCGGTAACTTTTGCTCCTTGATGGCCACTTCTTGAATGTGTTGCATCTCCTTATGGTGGCTTTGGTCTCGTATCACTGTCCTTGCCTCGCTGTGAGTTATAGAGAAAAAGCAGAGGGAGTACCAAGCTGGGATGAAGGAGGCAGAGGAAGGCTGTGAAGGCTTTGAAAACCGTGAGCTTGTCCTGCAGTTAAGACTGCAGGTTGCTTTAGCACAGGGCCCCAAGGATAGATGTGCATGGTAAGAACTTTGCAGCTTGGTCAGACAAAACCCCAGTGGAAGGGCCGTCAAATGAAAGAAATGTCCTCCCGTGTGTGACAGCATAAATACCTAGGAGAGGTTTAACATCAGCATCTTTCCTGAAAATATGAGGTAGTACCTGCAGCACTATCTGTGCTAATCTCCAGGGGCCTGAGTGCTCTGCTTGCCTTGCAGGGGGATCCGAGTAGGGTACACGCCTGATGTCCTGACTGATGCCACTGCCGAGCTCTCCGTGGCTTTACTCCTAGCGACGTGCCGCCGCTTGCCAGAGTCTGCAGAGGAGGTAAAGAAGTGAGTATTTGCAGCTGAGTGCTGGCAAAGGGGATAGCTTCTGAGCTGGGGAGGTCACCCCACGGTTGAATATTGCAAGTGAATTCATGCCGCACTTGACACATGAAGTGGGGCTGAAGCTGGTGTCCCACCAAAACGGTAGCAGAATGTCCTGCAGGCTGACGTGGAGTCCCCTGCCTTTCTGCGAGAGCATGTATATTATTCAATAGATGTTAAAAGGGCAGAAGTGTCCCCTAAATGCCCTTGAGTGTGGCAGCTGCAGGATGTGAAAGTGAGCGGCTGGGATACTCCAAAGCCCCGCATGAAGGAAACGAGGAAGGTCTGACCCTAGTTTGTTGAATGGCAGCCATTCCTAGGACTGTGGTTAGTAGTACCTAAATGGAATCAGTCCCAAGGCTGCTACTGCTGCTTACCCAAAATTGAAGCAGAACTCTGCTGGGGAGTCTGGGAACAGCCATCTCCAAGAGCCTGGTCCTTTCCCCATTTCCCCTTCATCAGTGTCAGATGGGCTGAGAACTCTCCAGTGCTTGTAACCTGTGGTGGGGCGTGTCCAAATGCTGGGCTTTCAGGTGGGCTCTGCCTTTTTTCTCTCTCCTAATGTGTATTCCCATCTCATTCTCTCTGCTAGTGGTGGCTGGACAACGTGGAAGCCCTTGTGGATGTGTGGCTACGGTCTGTCTGGCAGTACCGTGGGCATCATAGGCTTGGGAAGGATAGGTAAATTCATGTTGTGCATCAAATCTGTCTGTCTCCAGTTATGGCAGAGTATTCCTGGAACCTGGAGCCAGATTGTTTTCCCCTCTTGTCCTTCTTTAAAATCCATTAGAACCAGAAGGAAGGCTAGGTGAAACACCTTAGGAAAGTAATCTTGACTCATCAGGCTTGGATTTCAAAATTTTAAAGTCACACATCTGCATCTGACTGTGAGCTGGATGTTTTTCTCTGAATTCTCAGTTAAAGCAAACATCCCAAGCAAAGTCCAAAATAGCACGCTGTTTTCTGTTCGATTGTGGACTTTGTCAACAGATTGCTTGTTTTACAGTTTGCTCTCTAGGTTACTTCAGACCTCATATCCCTTTGCTGAAGCTTTATCATGACTGAGAATTCCTGCACATTGTCTTGAGGAGACACAGAGAATATAGGCCCATTATTTCTACTCCTGACACATGGCGAAGCCTGAATTGAACCTCACAGGAGCAATCCAAGTCTGAGGGGCTGCAGTGATCCTTGAGCAAGTGGTGTGTTCTACCATTTGCTTTACTTTAAGGGAACAAATCTGACCTTGCAAACAATGCCCCCTCTGTTTCTCTGCTTTATGCTTCTCTGCAGAGGTTTGCACTTGTCTGAAAGGTCTCATCTCATCTCTTGTTTCTAGGACAGGCAGTTGCCCGCCGTCTAAAGCCATTTGGAGTCAAGAAGTTTTTGTACACTGGCAGCCGTCCGAAAACAGAGATTGCTGCGGAGTTTCAAGCTGAGTTTGGTAAGAAGTATAAATGAAGCAGGGAAGATAGTTAATCTTCAGCTTCAGTGGCAGCTTCAGCAAACAGCAGGAATTACATGATTCTGGGAAGGTGTCACCAAGGAGCGAAGGTGGAAAGCTTCTGAAGGCTGGAGGCTTTCAATAGTTTCATCAGTACAACTGGGCTAAACTGTTTTGAAGGCATCAGAAATAACTGAGGGTGACCTTGTTGTTGTATGGTGGAACTGGTTGACAAGAGGAGAAATTCCGGTTGCAAGCAGGTGAACATGATGCATTTAAGTTTTAACTAGCAGACCTTGACTATATGGTGATTTCTATGTTACTCATACAACTCTATGGTTATTTGGACTATTGTCTTTCCTGTGTCTGTCTATAATTCTTCGTTAATTTCATTCTCAAAATCAATGTAATAGAGTGGAAGAATGAAGTTGAAGGGGAAGATGTCAGCTGCCTTCAGGAGGAAAGGGAGTAATAAGTAGAGGGAAGTCATGAGCTGTTACTATGGTATTTCTAAATGTGAAATATATACTAAATGCTCCTTTTGGCTAGGTGACTGAAGCTTTTTGGGATTTTTTTGAGGGTTGATTTTCCTTTAAAAGTGAAATGAAACACTTTTAAAAATTACAAGAATATCTGTAGGAACCTGGCTCCATCTCTCTGTGTGGTTTTTATTGGGGTCTGCGGTTCCCCTTTTCTCCCTATCCCTGGAGAAAGGTCAGCCCAAGTCTTTCCAAAGCAGCATTCACTATTACAAAGCCATGTGAAAACAGTGCTCTTGAGATACTGCTATCAAGTGTCTGAGCAGAGGTGTGATCTTTGTTTCTCTACTCAGTCCCAATCACAAGGCTGGCTGAAGAGGCAGACTTCGTTGTCGTGACATGTGCCTTGACTCCTGAAACCCAGGGAATATGCAACAAGGATTTCTTCAGCAGAATGAGGAAAAATGCTGTGTTTATCAACACAAGCAGGTAACACAGTCTGCAAGGGTTGTGCAGCCCTAGCACCCTGACACGAGCTATGGTTGCAGTGGGGCATAAGCTGTGCTACATGTTTGCCCCGGGTGTCCAGGGAGAATAGGAAATGGGCACTGCTGCAGCCACAGGGACGGCTTGTGGCCTCCTCTGTCCAATCACCACGTCTCTTGGGACCAAGCCAAAGCTGTTCAGGTAGCCACGTGCTCGCTGTCTTTCCCAGAGCCATGTGCCTAGTCCCAGTGGGATGGAAGGAGGGATGACTAGAGGCTAAGCACATCTTCAAGAAAGCCCTGAGATTGCTGTACAGGTGGCTGGCATACAGCTTGCTCTGGAAGGAGGCTGCTGGGGCAGGGCTGTGTGGACAGAGCAGTAGCCTCTTATCTCCCTTTTGCTGAGTCTGGCATCAGTGCAGAATCTGTGCTGCCTGGCACTGGTACTGTAAGCCCCGTCACCCTGGGCAGTGTCACGCTGATAGCCCGTGCGTGCCCAGGTTGTGCTCAGTAGCTTTTCTAGCCATTATGGTGCATTTGATCTTCTCACCCTTGAATCACAGAATCGTAGATTCAAAGTAAAGTAAGAGAAATTCACCTGTGCCTGGATAAACTGGGCTTGTATAGGGGGTTATCACAACTTTGGAAGCTCCTTGCTCCTCAAGTAGAGGAAGGATGCCTTCTTTATCCAGTGCTCCCCAATAGACAAAACATTAGGGCTTGTACATATCGAAGGTTCAGATGCATCCAGACTGCACATGTATTTTGCTCAGTCAGCCAACAAGCTGTCTGCTCTTGAGGAACCAGCACGGCAAAGCATCACGGTGTCGTGGACAGGAAGAACAGGACATGCTTGTGGCCTGTGTGCAGATGTTGCTGAAGAGCCCCCTCTGCCTGGGCTGCTGTGCTCGTGTTGATGTGGGAGTGCATCCGTAGGGTGGCAGTGCTGTGAGCCTCTGTCTGCTTTGTTTTCCCCAGGGGGGCTGTTGTAAACCAGGAGGACCTGTACGATGCATTAGTGAATGGCCAGATTGCAGCTGCTGGCCTGGATGTCACGACTCCGGAGCCATTGCCCACTGATCACCCTCTGCTCTCCCTCAAGAACTGTGGTAAGTTGCTGTATTGAAGGCTAGGACGTCCTCTGTACCTCCTCTTGAAAACTTGTGTTCGCAATGTTCCTGTGCTTAGGGCAAGTGACCTCTTAGTGGTTTTGAGAGGGAATTTTGGTCCACATGAACCTGTGAGGGCTGAGAAAGAGCTGACATGTTTGGTTTTTTTTTTTTTTTTTTTGGATATTATTGTGCTCTTGTACAAGGGAAACTATTAAAAGGCCTTATTAATATCAAATAAGTTTGTGAGGTATTTTAACACTTCCAAATACAGTTAGAGTTGGCTCCTTTTTTTTGATATCTTCCTAATGGATTGATCAACGCTTCTCTGAGAAAATGGGTTAAAGTCATAAAGGAATCCAATACCATCAGGTGTGTAAATTCAAAGTCCAGAATCCCAGCTTATGCCCTGCAGAGCTCTGGAATTGCTATAAGTTCCAGGACTTATATTCTGCTAGCAAAATTTCCCATATGAGCAGGATCTCAGCCTTGGGAGCGGTCCAGGCCTTGCAGGATTGATCAGCTAGGCTGTCCACTCTGAGTCCAGGTTGCAGATGCCCTGAGTGTCTTTAGAAGTACAGTCCACTAAAGTGCTTGCCTTGAAGATGATTAAGTACCTGGAGCATCTCTCATATGAGGAAAGACTCAGCAAGCTGGGCCTGCTGAGTCTGGACAAGATGTTGGGCGGATTGAGAGTGGATCTTACCAGCATGTACAAATACCTCAGGGGGGAAATGTAGGGAGGAGGGGGCCAAACTCTTCTTGGTGGTGGCCAGTGACAGGACAAAGGGCAATGGGTATAAGTTGAAACTCAGGCAGTACCATCTCCATGTGAGGAAGAATTTCATTGTGAGGATGCCAGAGCCCTGGAACAGGCTGCCCAGGGAGGCTGTGCAGTCTCCTTCTCTGGGGATCTCCCAAACCCTCCTGGATGCGACTGGGTGCCCCGTGCTCTGGGTGTCCCTGTTGGAGCAGGAGGGTTGGACTAGATGATCTCCAGAGGTCCCTTCCAACCTCAGTCATTCTAGGATTCTGTGACTTGCAGTGCAGGTGTCAGTGAATTAGAGAGCCTTGAGCTGAAGATTTAAGTATTTGGGCTGTGGGGTGGGCAGATGTTTCTTTGCAGTTGGTCCAGTAGCCTCCCCAGGAGAGCACTGAGGGCTAATGGGCAGCCTTGGATGGTGATGTCCAAGGCAATATGCGCTTGGACTGAGTAGGAACAGCCAGCTGAGATAGTGTCATTTGTCGGTGTGCAACAGGCATCAGTTGTGTGGGAATGTGCCAGTGCTACAATGACTGCTGTGTCTGCTCTGGAGGAGGTTAGGGCAGATCAGGAGGGGTGGCTGGGAGGGGAGCCCCTCTGCTCTAGCTTTCTCAGACTGTTGAAATGGAGGTGGGAGCAGAGGCAGTAGGTGATTGCTGATGATTCTCTAGTGCTCTCCCAAGAATTAGATCCCATGCTGAAAAAGGTGATGTTCTAGAGCAGTGACACCGAGGATGCCAGTTGTCCCCAGCATTTTCCTGGTATCTGTGCATATTCATGTTATTGCCACCAGTGGGTTGTGCTGGTGCGTGCTCTCCATAATCTTGCAGCTCCCCAGGGCAATGGCAATCCCTGCAGACACAACCACGGGCCTGGGATGCATAAGCCTGTTCAAGGTGTAGTCATTGGCTTCTGCTGTGTGCCCTTCAGAGAGGAGCTCAGCCCTTCACATGCAAGCTGGGGTCAACAGCACCTCCTCTGCTCCTCGGAAAAGGAAACACACATCAAATTAGTGCAAAGACGGACTTAGGCATAACAAGGTTGGGATGCTTACTTCTATCCCTAGAGGCAGAAAACAGATAGAAATGCAATGCAGAGCAAACACTCACTTCTACGTAAAGAGTAGCTGTCTGTGATTGTTCACAGCTTCACTGCCTTTTAAAATGCCCGCGTGCTTTCCCATATCCGAATGCCTCGACTCCCTGTTGGTAATGTGGTGTGCTCCAGAGCTGAGGCCTGTGGCTGGGCCCAGAGCAGGTTCCTGTTGCACACCTGAGCTAGTCAAGCTGCCTCTTAATGTCTCGGGTGCATCTTCATTGGCACGGGCAGAGTACCAGCCCATGTGGCAAGAGGAAGTCCCCTGTCAAGGAAACATGTTTCAGAAGAAGGAAATATCCGTTCCATGAGGAAACTGCAGGGAATTCAGACTAAAAATTTGGGACTGTCCATCGCTGGATATCCATTACTGAAATTCAGGTTATATACGTTGTAATACTTTGATAATCTTTCTGTTAAATACTTGTTTTTAGCATGTTGTATCTAGATTCTGTAGTTTGACGGAATGGTAAAAGCTGAGGCTGTCCAGAAATAATCTGGACAGGGTCTCAGAAAATGCAGAGCTTTGGAAAAAAAAAAACAAGGAGAAAAAAAAAAAGCATACATTCAGGGTGTTTATTTTCACAGAAGTGAGACTTTGATTCTGAAATTTTTTGTAGATTTCAGGGAAAACTGTCAGAAAAGTTTCATCAGCTGGAAGAACACTGGATAGATAGAGAAGTAGAGTGTGAACATTGCTTTTGCAGCATGCAGAGAGCCCAAGCATGATCCTTCTTTGTGGAAGAAATGAACTGTGCAGCCAAGTCCTCACAGGAGACGTTTTACCCTCCAAGCCAGCAGGTTGCAGGCTGTTTGGGGATCTGCACTTAGAGGCTGTTCAGCTTTTGTAGAACAAAATCAGACCGGAGTGCAGGCAAATCCCCAGGTTGTGTGGGAAACAGATCACACCATGGAAATTTTGGTGCTATGTTTGACTGTAGAAGGGATAGCCTTTTTACATGCAAGATCACTAGCTCTTTTCATGCAATAAGGTAAGTAAAATGCCTGAATGCAGGAAGTAAGACCCACACCTAACTGACTGCCTTCAGGCTGGAGGACTTCAAAAATAGCATAGTTAAGCATTTATTCAGTGTAGGCAGCTAATATGTTTTGCTTCACATTTTGCTGTTTCATATCAGTTTGTGGCTGCTGCAGGTTCTTATTTGCTGATGCCTTTAGGAAGATCCGTGGGAGGTTTGGGATGAGGGAGGAGTGTCCGCGACCACAAGAGGCAGGTTGAGGTAACCTTTGCTGTTCTCTGCAGTGATTCTGCCGCACATTGGGAGTGCCACCTACACCACGAGGAACACCATGTCCGTGCTGGCAGCTAACAACCTCCTGGCGGGTCTGAGAGGGGAACCCATGCCAAGTGAGCTGCTTCTTTGAAGCATGGCTGCCTCCGCAAGGTCACAGAGCAGGTTTTGACATTATCCATGACACTGGAGAAGCTTCACACATCCCTCTGTCCCTGTTTCCTGCTGCAACTAACACGTATTAAAGATAACTGGAGTGAAAAAAAAAGGAGAGTGCTTATTAAAGAGAAATATTAAGTAAACATTAATTCATTTAATTTGGGAACTGGTTGGCTTTGGGTGCATTTTGGATCAGAGGCTGTTGGAGTAGGAAAAAATAGGAGTCCTCTTGTTGGAGGTTTTGCTGGTTCTGTGGTCGTGTCGCAGCTGTGGTCGGAAGCAGGTGGATCTTTGACCCGCCTCAGAAAACTCGTAAAATGTAAGGACTCTAGCTATTTTGCTAGCCAGCATATGTTGGATCACGAGAAGCGAGTTGCTGATGCAGCTTCCACTTTATAAGTCTTGATCTTCAGGTCTCAGCACAAAGTTCAGGTATCTGACCTGAATTCCCACCAGTCCCTTTTTTCCATTTTTTTTCTCATTTTTTTTTCAGCTTACAGTGCCGTGTTCTAGCACAAACGAAGAACTGAGAAGGTCCCAGCTCTCTTGCACATCCTAGGAAATTGGGTGGTTTAGTCTTGTTGTCAGTATTGGTTGCAAAAGTACAGCCAGATACAAGCTAAAATAAGCCTTTTGGGTCCTACTGTGTTTTGAAGCTAGGGATTCTAGGGAATGGGAATACAATAAATCTTGCCTTAAATGATGGCATGAAAAAAAATGAATTGTTTTTAATAAAGGAAGAAATAAGGAAGAGCTATCTAACAATAAAATGTTTATACATTTTATAGGTGAACCATGAAAAAAACGCATGTTCTGTTGTATTTTATGTAGTTTTGCACAAAGGAACTTTTGTCCCATACTGATTTCTTTCTTCCAGAGTTTGGGGCTATTACTTTTTGAGGCTTAGGTCGTGTGGATGAGAAGCAGCCTACATAGCATTGGGCTGATCCAGTCTCTCTTTTGCCTTTTTTTCAGAATAAACCAAAAGTCCAAACTCCAGACCAAGTTTTGGGATGCTGTACCTTTGTGCAGCTTCCATTGCACAGAATTAGCCTTCTTCCTGGAGGTGCACTCACGCAGGGCTTGTGGGCTCAGCATGCCAGTTTTATAGTAGTTTCCCACACAATATGCAGCTGCAAGCTTGTGACTGGGCTGCTTCTATTACTGCTTCACACTGACACGTTTTTTCCATGCACCTATGCATCTGGCATTCACAAAATAGCAAAGGAGAAGAAAGCAGCTAACATTTTTAGAATAAAAGAGAATGTAGTTAGTCCACTTGTGGTAAGACACATAAGAATCCTGCATTCTGAAGTCAACAGTGAGATATGTTAAACTACCACTGCCAAGTTAAAAAACAACAGACCTCCAGGCTTTCTTCAGTCTTCCCAAAGATTTTTTTGTGCCTACACCTCCTGCAATAACACCGTTACAGCTGTTTCAGGTCACACCTGTAAATTTTGAATTTGTATTTCCAATTTGCAAACACATACGCAAAAGGAGATAATAAAACACCCATTAAAACATTTCAGTTAAAATTCTTTTCCTAGTTACTGTCCTGCTAGACAGCAGAGCAGCCCAGACAATTTCAGTTTGTTACCATCGGTGCACTGGGTAAGAGCAGTGTGGTGCCACTAGCCCAGCTCCAGCGGTGGAAATCCTCCTCAGGCATAGGTCAATCTTGCTCCTTTCATAAATATATGATATTATATATTGTCCCCAGGGCTATATTATATAATATATATAATATGTATTATATAAAACATATATTATATAAAAATATATAATATATATTATATAAAATATATATTGCTATTTGTATATATTTATATATAATATATATATTATATATAATATTATATAGTATTATATATTGTCCTCACTCTGTCCCCCAGACTATATACAGTCCCCAGTGCATTATATTCTCCTAGCTCCTACACTCACCAGACTAGAGGTGACGAGGATGTCCCTGCTTGCCCCCTGGGGTATTTACTTATGTGGAGGGCGTGAGCCTCCTGCCCGACACCAGGACATCCGTTCCACAGGCGCATACCAAGCACCGCAGGTAGCGCCCAATAAGCTGTAGTGTTATCTCCAACTCCAATTCCATACAAAACCCTACAGGGTGATGCCTAATAATCCAAAGCATTTATTGAGGGTAAGATGAGAGGGCAGGAAAAGTCGCTGGCAGCATGGTAAGCATCATGTGGAGAGGGAACTTAAAAATATGGGGGGGAAAGTCCTGTTTTTTTATTTTCCTCAGGTTCATCTAGAATGTTCTTTATTTCCTAGACCTAGGCAAGTATTCTTCTGAATTATGAATTTTGAATTTCTGCAGTGGTTAAATGAACCACACTCTGATAACAATAAAACATAAAACCTATCGGAAGGGTGTTCCTAGTTACTTACTGTTAGTGGCTAGTCAAATAAAGATACTTTATATACTTTTAAATATACTTTTAAATATACTCAGAGACATGTTTATCAATAGATTTTAATTCACATACCTTTGCAAATATTTGGGAAGTTTCTGAGACCTCTGCTGACCAAGAACAGGCCAGTAGATGCAGTAATGTAAAATAGAAAGAAGTGGATGGAAATTTTCAGATTGGTGCAAGAAAAGTGAGAATTACCTTGCTGCTGAAAACTTTATTAAATGAATAAAAATCCCTTATGTTAGTTTGCTGGGCTGCACAGCACATTTTTGAGAGCTTGGGTTTGACACAAATGATTTTGATGATGGTGAAATTACTGTAACAGATGTTGACAAGTAAGAGCTTGTAAATAGGACTGGGTGGCTGAAGCGCATTTAAGGAATCATGTTATGAAACTTAAGAATGGTCATGAAATTTAAGAATTTTGCAGGTCTTGATCATCTTGCTCTGCCACATGGGAGACTTTATGCCGTTACTAAGGTTCTGCTTTGTACAAATACTTTTAATAATGGAAATGGTAGAGAAACGTTGACCTTCTCTCTCCCTCTGTACTTAAAGAAGCCCGAAGCTTTTATTGCAAGTCAGAGCGCAACTAGTCAGAGCTGCAGCTCTTGGCGCGCGCACAGAACGAGGCCGCGGGTGCTCTGGGTGCGGGGTCAGCTCGCTCATTTCTGCACAACTTTTCAGCAACTTTGCCACCTCCTTTCCAAGATGCTGGTTTTTTTTTTTTTTTTTTTTTTTTCCCCCATCAAGAGCAGCAGGATTTTGGAACTGATGAGCTACAAACGCAAACCCAAGTCGTTAGCTATGCATGCATCCCGTAACTGGGGACTGATGAACAGCTTCTGACAAGTTACTGCAGGAATTTTCCCTTTTACAGTAAGCTCCACTGCGACTACATCCTCAGATTTTATCCTTCACGTATTTTTTGAGAAAAATTAAGAGCAACATCACAATTAAAGAATGACTGGCCCTGTTAACGTAGCTCATTAAGCAAGTGGCCACAAGAGACCTCAGCAGAAACAGGCAGGGCTCGTGGGACTGCACCAAAAGCACCACGGAGAAGCGCAGAAACGCGGCCCAACTCACTGCCGTGGCTCGCGAAACGCTGCTGGGGTCCGGGGCCCTTGTGGGTTACAGAGCACCCACCGCCGGGCGCGGGGGCACCGCGCGTGCCCCGGCGGCCGCCGCCGCAGCACTGCCAGCCAGGGAGCCCTGCACGAGCAGCGCCGCACGCGCCGCCCGCCCGGGGAGACGCCGCGGGAGAGCCGCAGCGCCGCCTGCTCCCTGCCACCCCGCGCACAAGAGCAAGGAAATCCAACCAGACCATCAGCACAAAACGTAGCGTTTATTTTCAGATGTGTTTCACACTAGCACCTTCACACGAGATCTCACTGTAGCATCCAGAAACTTAAGTTTCATATGAAGAAGTCATAAGGTTTTTGAAATTACCAGGTGTGGGGATGAAAAGCTTCCCGTTTTACAGTACAGGATGGCTGGGGTGGAGACGCCATTCAAAGATATTGCTTCATACTGGAAGACTAGGAGAGCAAAATGCCACACACAGAACACCTGGCTTTTCAGGATGACCATTCAGAGCCAGATACCAATCAAAAAGAAAAATTACAATTTTTTACTTCTGAAGATCACCTCCAAGTTTAATTTTTTACTTAAAGAAAAAGACAGCAGTCCTCTCTTCCAAGTTGCCATTTCCCAATGCCATTAAAATTTTATTATAAAAAGAGATCCAAAAGTAGTTAAATATACATTTAATTCATATGCTCATGTTAATTATTTTAGTCTCCTTATTCACATATCTGCTTTATTCCTATGTAGGATGGGATTTCAGATGCACTATAGAAAACAGGTACAAAATGGAAAAAAAAAATCTTAAAAAGAAAACACTACAAAGGCAAGATGTCAAAAAATAAAACACACGATCTTACTAATAAGGCATCACAGTAAATATTAGCATATGAAATACTGTACTTTATTGAGGGTTCATTAAGATCACTGAGTATAGCCCAGTGCTGTTAAATACCCAGATATCAAAGTGATTTCAAACAAAATCTGTCATTTTCTCATCTCTTTTATAGCTGTGGTTCATTGATGTAATGCTCATCATTCTCAAGAACCAAAGCACGTGGCCATTAGACAGAGTCTGTGACTTCACGTCAACATTAATCAGGCCATTGGCTATAATCCCACGACCCATGGCGTGCTGCACGAGGCACTGACAGACACTAGGCATTCTTTGAAATGGAGAGATGCTGGAGCAGGGGGCTGGACTAGATCATCTCTAGAGGTCCCTTCCAACCTTAACCATTCTGTGTAACTAGAGATAAGACGTTTTTCTTTATTAACCACTTACGGTTTCGTATAAAGGAAATGCAGAAGGAGCTCCATGCATCCTTTGGTTCAACGATGAATGTTTTCTGTGCTTCAATAATTTTGATAGGTTGCCCTGCTAAATTACTTACTGGACCATGGATTATGATTTTATTTTCAGTTTATGCAAATGTAAACCCAGGGTGTTTAACACGGCTAACTATCAAATAGCGCTCAGGTCCCCAAACCTGCTGAACGTCGCCGCACAGGATATATCTGCTGCACAAAGAGGAGAGAGTTTCTAGACAGGCATCTGCTGTGTGACACACACATAGGAAATACTGAACATCAGTCTTTCATGAGCAGAACAGACATGCTGAAATCCTGACCATCTATTATATAGTAATTAGGCAATACTAATCAGCAGAAGTGCTCCCAAATATTATTTAGAAACCTAATAATGCCAAAAGTTAGAAGTTCATGTGCACCTTTAACAAGAACAGGAAAGGAGGAAGGAGGAAAGGAAGGGAAAAGAAAAGAAAGACTGCAAACAGTATTAGGTACAATGGTATCACAGAACAAGAAACTAAAAAGAAGATTTAAGCAGACTTGAAGAGAAAGATCAAAAAATGTTTTACAAGGTGTACAGTGCTATTTTTCAAAAAATAAATTTATGCTTCTTTAAGTTATGTGGAAAAAATACTACTATGACACTACTTCAGACTGAAGGCCTGGCTTTGATAACTACATTATACAGTGGCATAAATAAATATGACAAGTGAGGACCATTCCTTACTGTACTGATCTGAGAAAACATCCGTACTTGGAAAGGAATCATGGAAGGAAATTAAAGCCTGAATAGACGAGTATCAGTAAGGGGTGGTTTGCTGACACAACAGACGTGGATCGGGTTGACCATCTGCATCTGGAAACAGCAAGAGACTACCTTAAACAGTAGAAAAAGCCATCACATTATATCTCTCATTCAGACTAACAAAGCAAGCAAGGACAAGCTCTTCTCAGACTGTGTACATGAGTTTTTAAAACATGAAATACAAGTTGGTTAAAATACTGCTAAAATAGCACAAACAAGAAACAGTACTTCACTTATCACTTAATACAAGATTTTACAGAAGAAAAAAAAAGGGGGGGAGGCAAAACAGCCAAATCTTGCTGTGTTCAAAGTATACATACATCTAGCAGACCAAAAGTTATTGTCTTGGATTAAATTTAAGCACCTTCATTACATAGTGTCCTTTACTACAAAACAGCCAAACATACATTCAGAATTCTACACCTATTTTTATAATTAACACATTTTAAAGTATTTTATGGCGGTCAGGTGCACCCAAAGTTCTTTTTCTTTTAAAGATATGCAATTTGCAATTTTTCATATACAATTAACTTATTTTACAAGTCATTATTTAAACGCTTTCACTCTTACAAAATACCTTAAAAAAGAGGAAATTTGCACTTAAAATTTCTCGTTCTTTTTGAAATGTACTACTTAAACATAATTAGGAGACAACTACATCCTCACTCAACCCCTACCCCTCTGCCCTGCAAAGGAACTATGCAGTCTCAGGGATCATATCCCTGTGAACCCAAGGCCTACGTGTACATAATACTCTAATAATGCTACTGCTACTATTACTAATGCTTAACAGGGAAACAGTGCCACTTTCTGAGCATCTCAAAGCACTTCACTAACCGCTGTCTACGCCTCACAACATCCCTTGTGAGGTAGGTATGGTATTATCCCCAATGTGTAAAACCTCTCGTGTGCACGCGCGGCACAACCACGGTGAAACGTTCGCCGAGCTGCCAGGGCCGCCTCCGAACCCGCAGCCTTGAGCAGAACAGTGTTAACGCCCCCAAAATACTTCAGCGACCGAGGAGTTTGCACCGGCGCGGGAAGGATTAAAGCAAAGTGCTGGGCAGGTTGCTGCTCTGCCACCGGAGGCAGGTTGTTTTGGAGTGTTTGTACAGGTGGCTGGACTGGCTGAACCGCTTGCCGCACTTGAGGCAGGCGTAGGGCTTCTCTCCCGTGTGCACGCGGATGTGCTTCTTGCAGTCTGTCAGCGTCAGAAACGTCTTGCAGCAGATCTTGCAGGCGTACTTGCGAGCGCCCTCGACCACCAGAACGTTGTGCTCCGATAAGGCCTTCTTGCATTTCGAAAGGACATCGGCAGACGCCCTGGTCAGCTGCGGCGGGCCCGCTTGAGAAGGATGCCCGTTTTCAAAGGAAGTGGCCCCGTTCATTAAGAGCTGGGAATTGGACGCGTTATCCTGCAGCTGGGAGCTCCGCACAGAGGTCACGACAGGCATTTTGGGGGCTATGCGGCGGTAGCTGGGAAAGCCACCGGCTCCCCCTCTTACGGAGCCCATCATGGCCCGGGATATGGAATGCAGGCCCAGACCTGACCGCGGGAAATCCATGCCAAACTGCTCTGCAGCCCGGTATGCAGAGGTCTGCACGCAGGGAAGGCCCATTACCTCCTGCATCGGCCTCACAAAGTGCGAGTCCACGGACTCACCGAACGGATTCTCTACGTGAGAGACCGTGGCGGAGGAATGGCCACCTGCAGGCCCGGACTCCGGGCTCATCAGGTAGGAGCCATCGCCGTCCATCCTGCAGTCGCTCGTTGTGTTTGGAATGTTGTCATCGTTACTCTGTGCGGCGCCAAAGCTGCCACCTCTGCTCTTATTTAGAAAATTGGAGATACTGAAGGTGGACTTGTGTTCCAGGTTATTTGATACTTCCATAATATGGATGTCTCCCACCCTATCAGTACTGGATTGAGGATCAGAAAAGCTGCGGTCGCTGCTTTCTGGACTCAGTTCTATCTTCTCTGCACTCACAACTCCTTCCACTTCCACAGACTCACTGCCTTCCGCTTGGGAAGTGACATCGCTCACCTCGTCTTGAGGCTCCGGGGAACTCAGGGGCTCAGATTTAACCACCACCCTCATATGCTCCTTCTCATTCAGACTGACCTCGGAATTCTCACACGGGAAGTTGTTCTTCTCAGAAGCAGCGTCTTGGTCAAAGCTGGTTTCCACCTGCGTCGCCTGCGATGCCATGGACATCTGTGAAATGTTTCCTCCGCTGTTGTCAGACTGGCTGGGCATTTGAGCATCTTCCTGAGTGCTGAAAGACTGGTCAAACATCACAGTGTTGTCCTCCTGATTATCAGCAACAGCATCAGTCTTAGCACTGTCCACCATCTTCAGGGAATCCGGCGAAAAGAAGTCTTCCCGGGAATGAGCCGTGGACTGCCCGCTCTCGGGAGCCGCGTCGGAGGCGGCCTCGTCCATGGCAGCGCGGATCCGCTGCCGGGCCCGATCCTCGGGAGGCTGCTTGCGCTTGTGCAGGCGCCGCATGGGGAAGGCGGAGCGCTGCTCCACGCTGCCTCTCACGGAGGAGCTCAGGGCGCCCGGCTGCTCCTCGCTGCCCTGCGCGGAGTTGAGCGCCGAGCTCACGATGCTCAGCCCCAGCTGCTGCAGCATGAAGGACCTCTGCATGCGCGCGCTCTGCTCCTGCGCCCTCTCGCTGGGGGGGGACATGGGCAGCGTCCTGGTGGTGAGGTAGTGCTTACACGCTTTAACAACCGAGTTCAAGTGCAAGTGGGAAGCAGCCAGCAAGACATCCATAACATTGCTCTCCCCGAGCATCAACGTGGAGGTGTACATCATGTCAATCAGGGCTGCAAAAGCCTCTGCTGTCACCACCTCACTGTCCAGCTGGATCATGTTCATGGTTTGGTCTCCCTCCGCAACAGTGAAGAGCGCTCGGAAATGTGTGCTGCATGCTGCCAGAACAGAGCGGTGGGCCTTGAAATGCCTGTTTCCCACCACGATGACACAGTCACAAAGCTGGCCGTGAAGCCGCTGGTAGTTTAGCTGCTGAAAGATTTGCTCAAAGTGTCCTGGAAAATCCATGATCCTACAAAACAGAACAGCATGAATTTTAGCATTAACAATGTCTGAAGCACCACTGAGAGCACAGCGAGGCCAAGTTTGAAAGTGAGAGAACGGATAAAAGGCGGAATAAAAAAAAATCTCCTCTTAACATACCTCTCCTGTAACGCTAATAAATCAAGGTATGATGCTACAAAGAGCACAAGGGGGATTCTGTCATAGGGGTAAGTTGGTACAGCAGTTAACACCGTGCACAGACAGTTCTTCTGTGAACTGAGTAACGCAAGTCCTGGGGCCCACGGTAATCCTTGTCCAAACCGAAACACAGCTAGATCTTTAGTTAATCTTTGGTTAAACCGCTACTATTTGTGCAGAATCCATCGTAACTGCGACCTTTGATAAACTGTTCAGATGAGTAGATAACCTCTTGCTGAAATAACTCGACTTTAATTCTAGTCTCATGTCACTTTCAGCAACTGACTTTGTGCCTATTTTTCTATGCTCCAATGTAGAACCTGCTCTCAAATATCTGCCTTAAAAAAAAAAATCAAGGAGCATTTACTGGAAAAGAAACAAGGAACTTTTGCATTGGAAGAGTAGAATTGGAAAGTAGAGCTTTAGCTACTAAAAGTGTGATACAATTTTCAGCCCCACTGTAAGCTAGAAAATGCTGAACGTCCTTTATTTCTCCCACAAAATAAATAAATGGTGAAACAAATAGAAACGATGGCAAATTAATGTAATAATATTGGAAAGACGAAAGGTGTTAAGTCACCAAGATTCGGTCAGACTCGCAGATGGAAGGCGAGGAAAGCCCTGCCAGCTGCTGCCCCCGGCCACGACGCAGCCCGTGGGTCGGCATCTCCTGCCTCCTGTCCTTCCAGATGCACATCACGCTTTGAGGATCTCAGCTGGACAAAAATGTGACCATGCAGTCTGGACAGGGGCAAGGTTCCCAAACAAAGTAAAGAGGCGAGCAAAGGAAGCCTGAAACTTCTGCTGGCAAGAACTGGAGGCACGTGAACGGCACTTAGCTCCAGCTGTAATTAGTTCTCTGTATTTTGAAAACAGTAAGAAATTGCACTCTATGCCCTCCAGCACCAGTGAGGATACAGATCTGCCAGGGCATTTGAAAAAAATCTCTTAATTTGGCAGAACTAAGGCTATGGCAGTGACCTGAAATAAACGCTGCAATGAGATTTAATTTGGTATTCTATCCCAGCCCCCTTATTTCTGTAATGAAAACATGTACTGAAACTCAGAAGTATGAAATGTGAGTTCTTAAAGAAATGCAAATACAAAAAATATTAGGTTTATTTCACAGTAAAAACAAGGCATGTCCAGACAGCAAGAAATTATACTAAAGATGACAGACTTTGGAATCAGAGCTCTGATCTGTGAGCTTTTCCTCTGGGAGAGCTGTAACACATGCGAAAGTGAGAGACTCCCTCCTGGTGCGTAGAGAAGGAGAGAGCAGCAGCAACGACAGGAGATTCTCACACTCTGGAGCCCGGGCAGCGGGACAAAGGGAGCGCTGGGACACCGCGGAAGCACCACGAGGAATGACGGTGCTGGCGGACGAGCGCAGGCCGCGCAGGAACACGCGCCGTGTCAAGCTAACGCGCCGCTCTGCCCCTCCGAACGGTTAGATCCCGCTCCGTGAGGAGCGCCCGCCTCCAGCCGGACTGGTGGAAACGCAGGAAGCTGCTCCCAAGCGGCTGCCTGCCGGATGGGCTGGCGTCCTGCAGCGCTGGCGCTCCGCGCTTGGCCTGGCAGGGCCGAAATGCAGGAGCTGGGGGGATGCAGGGAGGACTAGCAGCTGCTACAGCAGCGAAGCAGCAATGCTAACAGCTTCTAGATTTAGAGGCAGCACAAAAACCTATGTGTACAGAAGGTATTAACGTTTACACAAGAACATATTCATAAAAGCCAAGGCCTTGCTCAATTAGCTGCGTAAAACTTAAACACAACAGGTACAGATAAACAATTTCACAGATGCTCAGGAATAAACTACCTGAGCGCGCGCTCCTAAGCGCTATCTCTGCCTTTGCAGTCTTTTAGGCATACACTGCAGAGCTAGCCTGGCCCCGGCACTGGATGCACCCAGGCTCCTCTGCCGAGGAGCGTGGAAAGCAAGCGGCTCCCTTCCAAAGCCGGGGCTCCAAGGGCCTCCACGACCTTCCATCCGAACGGGTCTCCTGTGCGGCAGCACCCGAGCGAGCGCTGCCTGGGAACCTTCCCTCCTGCAGGCAAAGAGCATCATCCCCCACGCGCCCGCGGCAGCATCCCAGTTCACAACTAGAAACCAATAGCTCCGTTCTCAGAAACACAGCAGCTACGGTCCTTCACGTGAACATCTGAGTGCTATAAGGCTGCATATCAGTCAAATGCACCACGTACTATTCACACACAACATCCAGTGAGACGGCCTTTATTTCGCAGTTACTAAAAGCACAGCGCACCGAAGGCAGTGCAAAGTATTTCTGAATACTAACATTCAGCCTGCTTTCCCCCTTCTGCTTTAGCAAAGCCTCACCTTTCGGCAATCACCAGCCACAAAGGCTCTCCTGAAGCAGCCATGGGCTACGCCTCCCAAACACCCTTTTACTGGGTGGCTCGGGCTCGAGCATGCGACTGAAAGACACACATCCTCTTGCAGGATGCTGGACAGACTCTGCTGCTGAGCAAGATCCGGGCCCTGGCCCACAGCACGGACATCGTGCCATAAACTCCAGGTATCCAGTTCAACTGCCTTCAAAAAAGCAACAGGAAAGGGAAAAGCTTAATATTAAACTGAAGAAGCGACCACATTTAAAAAGAAAGCATACATATTGTTTAAGAGTATTTTACTGTTTGCTATAAACAAAGTATTTTTCAATATTTTCAGGAAAATCTTAAAAGCAAGAAACGGAAGTGTATCTATGAAATCTGTAATGTAAAACAACTGCTGTACCTCTCCACAGGTTTAAGTCTTATGAAATGAAACTAGGGCATCAGAACCAAAGAAAATATCTGGATATATGGAGGGCTATGAGATAGTCAAGCTCCATCTCTAATTTGGAAGCCACTAAAACAGAAGTCAGTAGAGACTTAGTTCTACATACATTCACTCCTGTAACTTTCAATTTTAGAGCTAATTTTCATAGAATTGAAAGAGATATCAGAAAACATTTTTTCAAATTTAAGATTGATTGATTAACAATGATTCAGTAAGCACTTCCTTCCAAACAGCATGACCACACTCCTAAAAAATACCTTTTGAATAAAAGGTGTGATCAGAAAAGGTTTGAACTGTTAACTTGCCTCTTCACCTGTGTAATGTGGTAAAATATCTGTTACATACTATATGAAGATAAATCCTGAATGATTAAGCTAAATCTTCAGTACTAATGATTCTGCAGGTTTAAATACATGTAATTGTGAAGAATAAGTACAAGTGTTCTGAATTCCTCAGAGGAAATAAAAGACTTGAAATTCCATTGCTTTTGTTTATTCTTCTCCCTTCAGTCATTAACCTACAAGTCAGTTCCAAGCAACTTCAGCACAGGGGACAATGGATATTTAATTCCAAGTTCCTGTTGAAATCTGTGTCCAATTACAGAAGAAGCCAAACGTGTCAGATGTCTTTACCACAGAGTCATAACTCCACTCTTTATTCAGGAAGAATGGGGAGCAGCAGGAGAAGCAGCAGGAGGGACGAAGCAGCCGCCAGGTGATCAGTTTGTGCACTCTGCTAAAAACAATCCTCTCATGTGGCCATGTAAGCAAGCAAACAGATAGGGAAGATAAAAGGTACCTGGTAACACTCAGCACATTGCGGGAAGAGGATTTGCCCGCAGGAATTCAGATTTTATTGCCACTGATATTCACGATATAGTATTTCCAGTACTATTAATACAACAACAAACAACTATAAAGTTACTGCTTCTTGAATTATTTGGACTGATAAGATTATGTAGATGTACAGCCCACCCTTTCCATCACTTCTTTTTGGCTCTAAAATTTAAGCAAGGCTTTCAACACCATCTCCCATAACATGCTCATGGGGAAGCTCGGGAAGTTGGGGTTGGATGAGCAGACAGTGAGGTGCATTGAGGACTGGCTGGATGGCAGAGCTCGCAGTGTGGCGGTAAATGGGTCTGAGTCCAGCTGGTGGCCTGTGGCCCGTGGTGCCTCCCACCAGGTGACACCTTGATACAGGTCTTGATACTGTTCAACTTGTTCATCGGGATGAGGGCACCGAGTGCACCCTCAGCAGGTCTGTGGACGATGCCAAGCTGGGTGGAGTGGCCAACGCTTCGGGGGGCTGTGCTGCCATCCAGAGGGACCTGGAAAGGGTTCGGCAGAGAGGAACCTCATGAGGTTCAACAATGAGAAGTGCAGGGTCCTGCCCCTGGGGAGGAATAACCCAGGGCACCAGGACAGATTAGGGCTTGACTGTGGAGCTGCTAGAAAGCTGCTGGAAAGCAGCTCCACAGAGAGGGACCTGGGAGTCCTGGTTGACAGCAAGTTAGCCGTGAGGCAGCAGTGCCCTCGTGGCCAAGGAGGTCAATGGGATCCTGGCTCCATCAGAAGGATGTTGCCAGCAGGTCGAGAAGATTGAAGAGAAGACTGAGAGAGGATCTGATCAATATGTACAAATATCTGACAGGAGAACACACAGAAGATGGCATCAGACTGTTCTCAGCGACAGGACAAGGGGCAATGAGTACAAGTTGAAAGATGTCAGTTCCATCTCCATGTGAGGAGAACCTCTCTGCTGTGAGGGTGATGGAGCCCTGAAGCAGGCTGCCCAGGGAGACTGTGGAGTCTCCTTTGCAGATCGGCCAGTCCCACTTGGATCCGACCAGGTGCCCCGCGCTCTGGGTGTCCCTGCTGGGGCAGGGGGTTGAACTGAGTTCCCTAGAGGCCCCTTTCAACCTCAACCATTCTGTTATTCTGTGAAAAAAAAAATAGTTGATACAATGCTCCCTTGAAGCCTAAAGCACACACTTCAATGTAAACTGTGGTCACTGGCAGAAACAAAATAAACAAACAAAAGAATACTTCAATCTCTCTCTCTAATTCTTAACAAGTCAGGAAAAAGGTG